GAACACCGCCAAGGACATCTACTTGTGGCTGTCAGTTTTTCTGGCTGCTTGCAATGTCGGACCACAATTTGGAGCCTCGCGGGTTTTTGCGGGGGAACCCAAGTCGAACCATCTACAGGATCCTGAACAATGACCCAATGACGAGCCGATGGGCACCCAACAATGATTCTCTGGTTGATGAGGGGATCTTCCATTTTGGGAGCACAGGACAGTTGACTTCCCACAAGGTTCTACATCCGTCGATATGCGAGCCGGTGTCGGACCTGGGAAGCTTTGTGAGTTCCCGGGCGTTTGTGGGAAACAAATATGAGTGCCTGAAACGAATCGTACACAATCTCACTTATGTCTGTCAAAAACGGTTAAAAAGGGGGCGGCCAGCAAATGACGGGCGCCCTTTCGTTTTTGCCTTTAAGACCATCCCAAAAAGGATACCTTCACAAGACACAGCGCACAGGTCAGCGCCTCCTGTCGCAGCTGTGACAGCAGCAGCACCTGGGCCCTCTGCCGCTGCTGAATCCTTGCGCAGGACTCCAACTGAAACTAAGGAAACCCGCGTGGACGCAACCACTAGAAGAAACCTGGGAATTATTCCTGCTGCCAAGCACCCCAGAACTTTCGAGCATTCCCTCGCAGGGTCCCAAACCCTCCCACGAGAATTTCCTTTACAGGTCCGTGTCCAGGAAATGATAGCAAAGGGATGCTCAAAAGTTCTAGCAATAGTTGATGAAAACCACAGGAAACCTAACAAACACACATGAGTAGGATGGCGAGTTGGGACATCACGCATGAATAACATTGGAACAAACAATGTTGTGATTCTGCCGCTGAAACACCCGGCGGACTTCCACAGTATTGCCGCAAAACTCTTGAACATTGACTGCTTCTTCGGAGCTACTTGCAATCTGTGCATAAAGGGTCCATGAAAGTGACATCCTCAAAACGCTCAACAGGGGGGAACCTTTGAAAATGCTAACTTGATGGGCCTCCAAATGCCAAAACCCTTGTCCATTTGCTATTTCTTTAGATTTCTTTAACTCCCAAGCAGGTAGCTCCAAAAACGGGCACCGAGCCCTGGGACAACACCGACCTCTCGATCAAAATGCGTCGGGCGGGCTGTTCCCGGGCAGCAGCTCCGGTGAGCGTGCCTGAGACTCGCTGGTTGAGGCTCCCGGAGTCATTGCCACGGTCAAAACCTATTGACTTGGAGTTCTACCGGGATGGCTATTGAAATCACCGGTATATATATATATATATGTATATATATAAATACATCATACTATGATCCAATTGAAACTGGTGGACATGATTTCGGTCGAGATTCGTGTCCACCAATCACTCTTGAGGCGGTTCCATCTTCAAAATTCATAGCCTCGACTACTGAACAAAATGGTACCACTTCCTATGAGCAATTGGAGTTTCGAGCGCCACTTTGTGCCAAAACTGCGGGCCGTAACCGTGGCTCTGATAGGAACCTTGGGTGCTTAGCTCAGTTTCCCGAAGGATACAGAAATTCGCTTTGGGCTGAGTTGACCCCAAGCGCTCCATGGCCAAGCCAAGGATCTAACCTGCTGAACACTAACTGAGCCAAGCCCACTGGAAATAGACTCCCCCACTTGTTCTGCGCTCCCCAAACAAATTGAAACGTCGGGTTTTGGCCCATCCATGATGTTCATCCATGCTTGCCTCACCCAATCCGACATACCCTCCGGTCTCCTTGTGAGCCTTGATCAATTTGTCGCTCTCGCCCAAAAGGTCATGGATAAATTAAAACTCCACAAAGCCCAGCTTTTGCTGATTTGCATTGTGGTTGCCACCCTTGTCCTCCCCAAAATCAACAGTAATGAGACTGGTGATATGTTCAAAAATTCTCAAAGAAGTCATCTCGGTAGTCAAAATATGCGGTTCCCGTTTCTTGACATGGGACTGGCGCTCACGCCCCCCTTCCCACGCCGAGGATTATGTACCCAATGTTACTTGGTGGGATCATTTAGGGGAAGGTATTTCAAAAAAGGAAGCTATGATCCCTTACATGCACCTCTAAAACACACCTCTAGTGTGTTGGTTAAACCGTTACCCTCGCTCACATGGAACCTGACATAGAGAGTCTTTTGACGAGATTGGTCTTCAGGACCCCCATCTCTTTGGCTGCCTTACATGGTACAATCCCCCACTTCCTGGGCTCCTTGTTTTCAATGAGCAAACCACTCCCCGACCCAGTACGTTCCTTCCCGACGGCAAAGCTTGGCTTCTGCGGGGGTACCCCTGCAGGGTAAACTCCAACGAGCGGCTCCCCACGAGGAGTGTACTAAGCAATGTTGAATCTTTGGCCTTAAGGAAAGCATGAGCAAAAGACACACAACACCACTCCTGAGGGTTCCCAATTCGAGACATGCCCATAATCTTTCTTACATCCACATATTCTGCAGGCAAACCACGGTTCATACTGGCAGGAATCGAGGAATGCACATTACACAGTTCAAGCAAGCAGTGCATGACTTGCTTCATCTGGGTTACTGGATAAGCACTTCCCAAGTTTGCAGTTCGGTTTATGTTGATGTCGTTTCCTTCAACACGGCAACGCAAAGGACCCCCCACCACACTTTTCCCGGTTTAGCTGACGGCCCCGCATTTTGCGAAAGGGACAACCACCCGCCTTCATTGTCATCCTCGAAGGATAGGAGATTCCCCATGGCTGATGGCCCAGCTGCGTGTTAGTTACCAAACGAATCAGCTGAGGGCCTGGACACAGACCACATTTTGATCCATCCCTGGTACAGGCGGGGGTCTCGAACAAATTTGACAGAAATATCAAACAACCATGAGGTTGGCACTCGGGGGGAAACCCTTGGATTGATTTGAATAGAACCAAGCTTTGTGAATGGTCGAATGGACCGAGATCAACTCGGAGCGGACTTGTCATGCGCGACTCCGAGTCCTTGCATAGGCTGAGCTGAAGTATTGGAGGACGGTTGAGGCTATTCTCAAGTTGGACATCGAGCGGCTTGTTGTTGTTTAATGGAAAGCTGGAAGGACAATCATGCAAAAATAAATGTACCAGAGGAATGGGCGGAGCTACTTCAGTCGTGCCGCAAAAATTCACAAAGCAACATGTGCAAGATCAAGCCTTATCGCACACACCTGCCTTTCAATGCTCCATCAACCAGATTATGTTTATTTGTTTCATCAACCAATTCCGATTGGTCTTTCATTGGCCACTTGCGTCTTGGTTCTTTGAGCCAAATGCAAACCGCAAGGCATTGAACCAGGCATTGAACCAAACGGCTTATCCAGTATGGGCTGTGTTTTGTTAAGGGCGTTAAAGGAAAACTAAGAGGAACACGGTAGGTCCCCCCTAGTTTGACACATACCCAGTTCTCGTACACTTTGAGTTGTTTGAGGACGAAGTAATATAATTATGTCACAGTATTGTCTGTTTTCACTTGAATGCTGAAAGACTTGACAATCCTCTCTCAACAAGCCGAGATTGAAGCAAGCATCTGGGCTAACACTACCGGCGTCATAACGTGCGAAATCAAGGGCTTTCTGGGCAGTAGTTCAGAACTGTCAATATGATTAGCACGCTAACCGAGTCCGGGAACCACCCACAACTACAAAATATCCGCCAACCTGCAAAACTAATTGGTGAGTAGTTCTGTCTTTCGCCCCTTGAGCAAACAAAAGTCATTGGTCGACGCTAAATGGGTTCTGTCTCAGATGCTATGCACATCCTGTGATATACGATGGAACCTGTATGTTGGAATCCTTTTGCTGAATTGATCTGGGTGAACTACAAAACACCAGCAGCTGCAACCTGGGCAAGTTTGCATACATAGCCCCTTGTCCCCTTAGGTCAATACATTTTGCCAGATCCATGGAATGCATCACCCATTCTACCACAAACGTGAAAGTGCATGGTCAAAACCCTGTTCAAAGAGCAAGTAATCTTCCAAACGGGGAGAGTCAGCGCACTTTAGCGTAATATTGAAAGGATCCAGCAACTAATGTCACTCCCCACAGCCACGTTCTGTGCTCGTAGCCAACCACTTGGAGCTGCGAGCAGTACGATCTGCCGCTTTTTCCGCCGACTCAACTACCTTTACTTCGCGCAGAGAACATTTCGAGGACTCTGCAAACCCCCCCCCCCCCCCGAAAGACCCCCCAAAGATCAGAGGCACTTCCGCCAAAGAATGGTGGAGGGGGGGTTTTGGGGGCGTGGGGGGGTTTGCAGGGTCCCTGATTTGGGAAAGCGATCTGCTGCAGGAGTGACATCGGGACTTCCACTGCTGATCATGTGCAATGCCCAGGAGAAGCAATGCCGGCAGCATTTGTGTCGGATACAAACATGCACATGCACACACGCATCTAACATGGTTTTACTATAGATTTCTCAAAACCACTGTATACCCGAAAGGAAAGAGTTAAATGTGTATATATATATATATATACTCCTTCAATCCTTGCATATCCGGTTGGAGCGGGCAGAAGCCAAGTTGGAATATACTATGCCTTACCGAGCAATCACGCAACTGGTAGTCAACCGCTCATCAGGGCGCGAGCAAGGAACCTTCATCATGGGAATTTCGTGGCAAGCCCAAACTATTGCCAGGGCACTGCATTTTGTACGAAAATCTGGGCGGTGTTTTGTTTTTTTTAATCAGGGAACCACTCGATTTGGGTGGGTTTAAAGCAACATCAATTGGAGAAGCCCCATTTGGGGGGGGGGGCAACCTGAAAAGACACACCCTCACATAGCTGTGGAAATCATAACCAGTTGCAGGGGCAAGAGCTCCTTATCTCACCCATGTTTCATCCCCAAGCTCTTCCGGCCAATCCTTCGCTTCCACCTAGAAGTTTGCTGATCTCTCCATCTAGATAGCTGTTTTGTTTCTTTTTTCAATACCAACATGCCGCCAAACAATCGGGAGTCGTTTTGCAAAAAGCTTGGCAAAAAGGTTGGCATACCTTAAAAACCTGGGATTGGTGCAGTTTCCAAAAACCTGAAGCTCTCTCGCCAGCATAGCTTCCCCTTGCGCGGCCCAGTTTCGAGCCGGTCTTTGTACACAGCGCTGCTCCTGGGAAGTTGGTGATTGCGAGTTGAAACGTGCGCGTGCACGTGTGAGCGCGTGTGCATAGGTGTGCACACGAATGTGCGTGGGTGTGCATAGGTGGCATAGATGTCCACAGGTGTGCATGCGTGTGTGTGTGTGTCTGCTTATGTGTATTATCATTTTTTGGATACAGTAATTGTGCTTGTTTGTGCGGGTCCGTGTGTTTGTGTGTGTGTGTGTGGGTGTGTGTGCGCTTCTGTGTCTGTCTCCGCGTGTGCGTGTGTCTGTATGTGAGCGTGTCTCTCTTTGCGCCGGAGTGTGTGCATGTCTCTGGTTCTGGACACTCTGTTTACACCTGCCCCGTAACTCATCGGGAACTTATTACAAAAAAAACAAAAGCTACGTCATGAACATAGCAATCATGTAGGCATGAATCTTACTGGGGACCTTTGGTGGACATCATTCAGGTGAGGAGTCCTAACCCGTTTGAGGCGGGTCACAATTAGAAATCATGGCCATGAAGCGATAGACATGAGATTTGCCATTAACTAATCCAGGGGATATGCAGCCAACTCAAACAACGCCATTGGTTCCGCTGTCCTCAGCCGGCGCCAGGGCCCGTCAGCAACCTGCCATGATATGACATTTGTCTGGCAACATCTGAAACAAATCAGCTTCAACAAAATTGAGGAATCTCAGAGGCACCTGCATCGTGAGTGGAATTGCTCATTTCGTCCAGGTGAACTCGCCTTAGCGCAGCGTGTCGCATGCCAAAATTAGTATAGCTGCAGGACAGTAACTCACTTTGCAAACGATTCAGGTCGACCTCTTGCACTAGGCCACCAGCAAGACCCTGACAAAACCCGCTGGCTACCACAAAAAGCCAACGCTTAATCCCTTGCTGTGGATTCCATTGCCACATTTCCCTCCCAACGATCGTTCTTTGCAACCAAGCCCGTTCTTCCTATGGTGGTTTTCTGACACAGGATCAATAGGATGTTGCGCAAAGTCATCTTGGGTAGATTTGAATTTCAATTAACTATATAGTACTATCGAGACCCCACCCCCGGGCACAACCCCGCCTCGCTTTAAGAAGCCGCGAGCCGTTGGTCCGTCCAAACCTGAGGCAGCGCAGTCACGGGGGGACTCCAATTTCTCGAATCGCCTCAAACTTGGAATTCGGAAGTTCTCGGTAAAATGGACTTGCATGACTTGTCGGTTGAGTGGAAAGAGAACTCGTCCAACTGAAGGAGGAATCCAGACAACTAGGGGCCAACCCCAAGTGCAGCATAGGCTGGAAACATCTTTCAGGCCGCCCTAGAGTTTCCCTTCAACATGTCGCCACCAAAAGACAACTCATCTTGCGGTGTTGAAACTGGCTAAAGTCAAATCTGGGGATCGGTGAGGCAAAGACATCGTTGAGCTCCTAAAACCCACTGACTTTCGGTTGATTGGGACCCTGCATGGTTACGAAAGTTTACATTGGCCCTACAATTCCCACGCCAGGTAGAAACCAGAGCCAACAAATGCCAAGAGAGGCTTCCTGGACTCTGGTCATAAGTGGGACCAGTTTGGGGAAACGTGGCACGAGACCCGTGAAAAGGCCAACCGTCCGCGAAACTCCTCTTGTCTTTTTCCCAACTTCTCCGTGCTCTCCGTCTTCTGCAAAGATTCCTGGATCCGTGGTCAACTTCCCCTAAAACAATAGCAACACAAAACCAACAGGTGCGGTGGATACAGCTCGCTTGCATAGGACCTGGTACAAACCTCCAGCAGTCATGATAAAAATGTCGCTCGTGTTTTGGCAAAGAATCACAAAGCGTTGAAAGGGGCCTCAAAAGAAGAACTTGGCACCCAAAAGCGTTCAAACTTGTTGTTTGCCACTAAATGGTTCTTGCCGAAAAGTACACACTCCAAAGTCACTCAAGAACCAGATCTGGGCACACCTGGATTCATTTCAGTCTGAGCTTTAGACCCCACGATGTACACCTCCGACTTTGCCACGTCCTCACGCAGATTTGTTCTGCTGCCGGAGGGGCCGGAGGGGCCGGAGGGCTTGCTGCAAGTCAAACTCTGGCTCCAGAATCTGCTCATCTCACTTCCCAAGTAAGAAAGGGCGAACTATATAATCGAAACCTTCCCATGACTTGTTTACCAAAAAACACTTCCCAACTGTGTACGGCCCAGCAACTGACGTCTGATGGTGAGAGGACCTGCACATGCCCTGCAAATCAACAGAAGCCTAAAAAAGGTGTCCTTTCCAATCCAGAAGGGGGATTCCGTTCCTAAACATGTTGGTCTTGTAAATGTGACGTTCGTCAGTAGGAGTACCAGGTGATCGCAGTTTGGGGAGACCGCTTCGATAAGCGGGGGTGGGGGGGTTTGTTGTTCGACGAAAACGCGGAACAACAAGACCCCCCCCCCCCCCCCCCCGGCGAACAACAACAAGTCCCCCCCCTCTCACTTGTTGTTCGACCCCCTCCCCCCCCAACAACAAGTCCCCCCCCCCCACCTGTTGTTCAACTCCCCCCCCCCGGCGAACAACAACAAGTCCTCCCCGGCCTCCCCGCCCCCCCTTGTTGTTCGACCCCCCCCCCCAACAACAAGCCCCCCCCGCACTTGTTGTTCGCCCCCCCGCCCCCCAAACAAGAACCCCCCCCCCAACTTGTTGTTCGACCCCTGCCCCCAGACAACCAGTCCCCCCCGCCTTGTTGTTCAACTCCCCCCCACCCCCCTTTTCGCGGCGAACAACAACAAGTCCCCCCCACTTTGTTGTTCGACCCCCCCCAAACAACAAGTCCCCCCCCCCACTTGTTATGCGAGCCCCCCCCCCCCCCCGAACGACAAGTCTCCGTTCAGCTGGCTGGCCTTTTCGGTTGCAAAAGATGGACAAGCCAAAGCGGCCAAGAAAGCTTCGCTTTGAAGCGAAAGGCCCCGAAACTTTTGAGGGGGGATTCAGACTCTGCCTTCTGAACGCCCACTTGGAGGGCGCCGCCGGAACAACAAGTCCCCCCCTCCCCCACTTGTTGTTCAACCCCCCCCCCGGCGAACAACAACCAGCCCCCCACTTGTTGTTCGACCCCCCCCCCCCCAAACAACAAGTCCCCCCCCCCCCACGTGTTGTTCGACCCCCCCGTTCCGGGAACAACAAGTCCCCCCCCCTTGTTCCCCAGAACAAGAAGTCCTCTCCCGCCCACTTGTTGCTCGACCCCCCCCCCCCCCCCAGCGAACAATTGCTCGACCCCCCCCCGCCCCCCCAGCGAACAACAACAAGTCCCCCCCCCCCACTTGTTGTTCGACCCCCCCCCCGGGAACAACAAGTCCTCCCCCCCCCCCCCCCGGAACAAGAAGTCCTCTCCCCCCCCCCCGCACTTGTTGTTCGACCCCCCCCGCCCCGGAACCCCCCCTCTCCCACTTGTTATTCGAGCCCCCCCTTGGCCCCCTCCACTTGTTGTTCGACCCCCCCCCCCCAGAACAACAACCCCCCCCCCCCACTTGTTATGCCCCCCCCCCGAACAACAACTCCCCCCCTCCCCCCCACTTGTTATTCGAGCCCCACCCCCCCGAACAACAAACCCCCCCACCCCTTATCGAAGGGGTATGAGTTTGGGTTGCCATGCCAAGTGGATCAACATAGGAAACCCAATCCGGTGACCTCAGATCTGCTCGATCCGCTTGGAACAACCGAGCTGCAGACAATATTGAGGCTGGCGCTGACAGCTTCTTGGCCAAAGGCCAAGAATCAAACCCTCTCGCTTTTGGATGGATTTTGGACACTGGACTAGCGTTCCAGTGTTGCTGTTCGGACCAATGAAACAAGTGGATTCAGCGCCCATCCTTGCACAAGCGAGTCTCTACCCTCCGCACCGGGAGCATCGAATCCGTTCACTCTCGCGCCTCCGCCAGGGATCGAGCCTGCTCCAAACGGACTCGCCTATTCAGCCAAGAGGCCAGTTCCAAGGCACCCCCCAAATCCAAAAAGACCTCGTCCCGACTTTCACACATAATTGATCATAATTGCCCACTTAGCGGAAGGGTTCCTGGGGCAACCTGAAAGTTCCCGGTCGGAAGTTCCTGGAGCACTCAAAAGGGGGTTCCGCTGATGGCTTTTCTTCGGGCTTGCTTTTTTGTCCTCGCCCTGTGGAGACGTTTGCCATCAGTTAACCAAGGTGCTCTTTGTGTGCCTATTACATGGCTAGATTGGAGGTTTAGTTCCAATTTAGGGACGCGCAAAAGAGGAAATGTCCAAACAAATGTAGACATGGTTGCCATGTCCCCAATCGGCTAGCTTCCTTGAGGCCATTGAAACAGCCATTTGGTCAAGTGTTCAGCAGTCAAAACTGCCTCGCGCAAATGGGACAGATTTGTGCCTAGGCAACAATAATTTCACAGAGCACGAGCTACTATCACTCCTCACCGTGACCGAAATGATTGGTAACCTCTATTCTATGACATCTGTGTGCGCGCCCCATCTAATCCCTTTTGCGGGGCATGTTCATAATGCTGACCTTTTTTTTGCATTTGGGCAAAATACTGTAACTCCCAAACTAGAAATGGATTTGCGTTAAACTAGTGGGACCGCGACAATGTTGGATCTCCTTGTGGTTGGTGAAAAGTGGGTGCACTGAACAAAAATCAGCCGCAGAGCCAACGTGTTGACCCACGCCGCGGAAGGCCGCACAGATGCCAATCAAGTTGCGCCCGCCGAGTTTGCGCCCGATGTGGTCAAACCTGATAAACTGAGCTTCGCCCGGCACAAACCTCAAGGCGGCCTTCGCCACGGGCGTTGTCCGATGGATCCAAGCGGCGGCTGATGTCCTCAAAGCTGTTCGACAGGGTCATGTGGTCCAAATCCTTTGGCAAACCCCTAAAATGGTGTGGGTGCCGAGCGGGCCAAAGGAGCCCGAGGTGCACCGCAGCAGATTACCCAACTCCTTGAGATCGGACCCCCTTTTTGAGCTCATTTGCAAGCGTGAAAAATCATTTGCCTGAGCAAGTCCTTTGCCGAAGACTCATTTGGGATGCGGAATACCTGAAATCAAGTACGCCTTGAGCAGTGCCACCTTTTGCTTCGAAGAAAGCACGCTTGAAAGGAATATTCTGCTTTTGGATGGTCTTTGAAGGGAAACCAGTGGCAAGCCAACCACTTCTAGGAATGCCCTCCATGTTTGTACTCACAAAACTCTCCAAATTAACATGGAACCCACACACCCATCATCTAATTCGTAAAGGACTCTTCCTGCTAGGTTGCGGTTCAAGATTTGGGATTATTTTGGTGGGGACTCATGTGGAGAGCCTTCCAGGGACGACGGGCTGGTTGGAAAAGCAATTCGCTGGGCTGGAAAAATCGTCTTTTGTCTTTACACATCTTCCACCAGCAAGAAAGTGCACAGAACCTTTTGCAAGTCAATTTTCCTCAGTAACGGAGAATGTGCAGTTTTCATGTTTGTTGGTGGGAGGGTACATCTTTCATCTCCAAAACCTTTCAACTTTTTTGGAAGGCTCCAACCAGTCCATGAACCTACACTCCTCCAGAATTTCGAGAATCGCCCTCTCATTCCCATTCTCGCCTGGAAGTCCCCCAAATCCGTGGGCCAAGCTGCTCTGGCGCGCCACAGCGCCTGGGGTTCTCTTTGTGTGTTTGTCAAGGGAGGCTGGAAACGGAGAAAACCGGAATGCGCTTTGTAGGCTCCAAGACCAAAGGACAAATGAAGCAAACTAAAACATATCGCCCTGCAATGTACGCAATGGACCTTTGACAAGTCTGGCCGCAAGACTGACAGAAAATGACAATCAAAAGTACCAAAGGAATCGATCCAACACCATGCAGCATGAAACACACCCGTTGGTAAGGTGACCTCCTTTTAGAGGAATTCATTTCGAGGTTCCCGGGCACTTTTCACCCGAGAACGATGTTTTCTTGGTAAGACTCTGAACGCTTGGGGGGGGGGGGGCCTGAAACCTCCTTGGAGATCTGTTAGAACGCCTACACTTTTCAATGCGGCTCCGGTCCCGACGCGAGGCTTCGACGTGTTCGACCACCAAATACTATCATTCCGACTTGTTTTGTTGGCCACTATTGGGGTTTCCCAGCAAGGATGCCGTGCAACCCGGGGAAATGAGTTGATGAAGGCGAGAATCCGCGAAATCTCCCGGCGCCTTCTTCTGCAAGAGGTCCCAAGCTTGCATCGTTGCATCCGCAAAGAGGCCTGCACGATGCGGATGCGCCGTGCGAAGGCCCCTTTCAAAATGGCGCTGTAAAGAGGCTCCCGTACACCGGAAAGCTGCCAATCCCCTCCAATCGGACCATGGACACGATATGTTGACAAAAGCTCATCCCAAAACCTCCGATGGATCTCCACTCAAAAGAGACGTGCCGTGAAACACGGGGCGATCCCTCGTCCTAATCCGCAATCTGAAGTGGGACTCCTCCACAGCCGGGTTCAAGTCTTTAGTCCCAAAAATGATCTGCGCGATTGAACATCTCAATGCAGTTGTAGCCGTTGTAGGTTGTGCAGTGTTTGCTTCGGGGACTGTTCAGGCCATGAACTTGAGTTGATGAAGCAACTACTGGAACTGGCGAGAATCCTCGGCAGCTTTCACTTCTCTAGCATTTGTTTCGTGTTCCACCCCAACACTGCAACACGAGTAATCAAAGCCTGGCCCACGAGTCGATCAAAACCGCACATTTATGACTAGAGTCGATTCCTGTATTCCCTCTAAAGTGACGACCACCGTGCCAGAGGTAACCTCAGGGCAAACGGGCCGATTGACCCTGGCACACACGCCGGTCCGAGCGGTGAGGCCCCCGCACAGAAGCTGCAGCCTGGGGCCGCGCCTGGCAATCGAGTGAGGGCAAACCGGTTCGTTGTTTGAGGGAAGCCCAAGGCACTTGGCTTCAAAAGCCAAAGCCAGAGAATACACCAAGAACACCAAACCCTGGGCTTCCCGTTCGTCTCCCTTCAATCGAACCCAGGAGTACCTCCAAAATGTCAAACACACCCATGCGGGCTCGCACCAAGGACACCCAAACCAAGTTGCATCTAAATGAGCAGCTGGCAATATTAGCACAAATCGCTAAGGGGCCCACAAAAAACGATACGCAACCTGCAAAACTAAAATCTAGAAATGGCCCACCCAAAACCGATACAACATAGTAACAAGTAGTACCAGTATTGCGTCCGTTCTAGTTTTTTTGGTCAAAGTAGGGAGACCCTAGCCAGAATGGATTCCATTTGGTGTCCCTTTCGAAGGGCACAAAGGTGTCCCTGAAAACAAGACACGCCTAATAACAACTATGCCTTTTAAAGGTTGGTTTGCCTCTCATTCACCCCTTGTAGAACCTTTGAATGCAACTTTCGTGGGTGCATTGTCCAACACAGTCAAGTTTACACAAGGCTCCTTACCCCTGCTCCAACTGCACCAGCTTCATTTGGGGGTATGACGTCAACCCCTGAAAGGACGTAGTTAGGATGAGCAAACAGCCTTTTCAACATGTATACAAACAAAAAACAGCTCCAGAACACGAGGTGTCCTATGTCCCCACAATTTAGCAACACTTAGGCCGCTTTCAAGGCAGGCGATTTCCCTCGTTCTCGACAGGGCCCGTTCTCAGAACCCTGTTGCTTGGGGGAGACATGAGGCCTTACGAAGCTTTGGGCCACACCTGGAACCAGCCACACTTGTCCAAGGGCTATTTACGTACTGACTCCTGGGGTACGTACCCAGATATACTCTTCACAGACAATTCATACCCATTACCTATTTCTTGGGACGTCATGTATGGGTATATATCAACAGTACTCTCCCTTCGGGCGAACTGGGGGGAATCAAGTTGATGTCAACTTCGGATGCCTAGTCATCCGAAGCAACATGACTCAGGGGTCACCAAACAGACTCTTCGCAGGTTGATCAATTGGTGGGTTCCAGACAGAATCACCATTATTGGCCTTCATTTGCTGAAGTCCCCTGGGAAAAGTAAACATACATTTGCAGTAGTGATAGATTCGGGATCGTGCCGCGCAGCTGAGTCACGCCCTGCAGAGACCAGCTTCCTGAAAGTCTGGCACTGAGGTCATCTGGAGGGTCGCCACTGACCCACTCCCAGGTGTCGCGAAGCTGATTGAACCGGGCGTTCCGATTGGCCGAAGGGGAGGAGTTCTGTCCACTGGAAGCGCGACCTGGCTCTGCTCAATAAAGGTGCCCTGGCAATCGGTCCAACTGCGAAATGGGCCCGGAAGATATGGCCACCTCACGAGGGAGAAGATCCATGTACAGGGCGAAAGAGTCTTGCACAAAATCGTCCTGCGGGATGGGGTCCTGCAACCGCTGAGGGATTTCTGCGCCCAAGACTCGCTCCACAATTCATTCAGCGGCCCTTCTAAAACACACGGTGATTCTTGAACAGCAGTGGTTCCGTCATACACCCAAAATCACCTGCAAAAGGGTCCCCAGCTAGGTCCCCAGACGCACCCCTGCAATTCTCAGCACACATTTCCAAAAACGTAAAAGGATACACCATATACACCCACCGAATTCTCCTCCCTTAAGGGGCTCCTTCAAACCCGCGCCTCGTGAGGCTGAGCGCCACAGGGCTGGGTCCCTGTCGCGGATGCCAGAAGCTGGGGTGGGGAACTTAGAAAACCAGAAATACATTCGATTTAGGAGTCTCGCGGAAAATGAACACCAACATAATAATAGCAAACTTATCAAAGCGTGCTCTTGCCAACTTTCCTATATTTGAATGTCTTTGCGTTCAGAATTGTGGGGTTATTTCACGCATGTCACGAGCAGGCAACCTATGAACTGTAGAACATACTTACTGATTGTATGGGAAGCTTCTTGTTCATCATGCAAACTGAAAAGCACTTTGCATATCTTGGGCAGCATGCACGTGATCCAATCTCTCAATGGTGTATACATATTATATATATATATATATACATATGTGGTCAAACACGTCCATGCCGAGTATAGGATCTCAGTGAACAAGAACAATTCACTAGCCAAAAGGATGCCCCATGACAACAACCATCATGAGTGAATTTGTAAGCCCGTTGTGAGATCGCTTTGTATTTGACTTCAACGTCAAGCGACAAAGCACCAAAGCAATCAAAGCAAGATCGCGCCGCTTGGCACAGGATGTCTTATATCCTAGACCCCGCCGTCTACGCTCCTGCAGATTACCATGAACCCCCAAAACAAACTGCGTTTGGAGGAATATCTCTTTGGGGCGGCTGCCTGTTGGGTTCATCCAGTTGAAGCGTGTTTCATGTTTTGGACAGGACAGACATGGATACCAAAAGAAAACCGCATCTTGAAGGCTTGGAGAGTCCCTAGTTTGGGCACACTTCCCAGATGTCTGTTCTAGTCACCAAGAGATCTGGAAGGTTCACGGAGGCGCAGCTGCAGAGATGCGTGGTCAACGTTGACATGTGATTTGCTCGTCATTTTAGCCAAGGGCAAACATGGTCCCAAATGTGGACCCAGGAAGGCAGCAGAATCCGGGATACTGGGTTCCATAGCTATGCCACATGTTGTCCCCTCTCCACAAAATCCACCCATATCCAGAAAGCTTTGCAGACTGGACATTGGCCCGTTCGGCATGTTGGTGGGGAACAGTAACTTTCCCCAGGCTCAAAGCCCACTGTATCCTCTTGGCACCGAGGTGTGACATCCGCAGATCCCAAAAACTAAACGACTAACCGTCCCAGCGAAGGGTAATGAAGCAACCAGCCCCTCATCCGCAATCTCTGAGACTTTTGGTGTTGGTGCGGAACCGCGGAGCCACGACTTTTGCCAACGCCACTACCGCGCAGCGGTGTTGACTCCGCGCGTGCTCAGCGGGTCATAGCCTGCAACGAGCAGTGACCCGCTCTGTCTGAGAAAGGGCCCTTTTCAGCCGACCCTTAATCCTCTGACCACGTATAGCCTAATACACCCCACCAGCAAAAGCAGTAAACATGGGCGTGGCCACTGTTGAAGACCGTCGGTGCAGGGTACCTAAACCATGGATGGCACATTGGTCACGGAGCCAGAACCTGTTGCCTGAGTTTCAGGAGTTTCGTTGCTGGGAGTCGCTCCACCTCTCAAAAACTGCTCATCGTAACTTTGCCTTTCCACTCACAGGGAATACCGGAATACCAGTCAAGACGGGCTCGTGACCCCCTCAGGAGTGGGAAACCTTGTTACAGAGAAATACTGTGTTGCGACCCACGTGTCCACCCGCCACCGCCAGCGATTACACTTGCTTAAAGTTAGTTGATTTAGTGGGATCTCCCAAAAGGCGACTTGAAACCCGCTCAAAAAGGGACAGCCATGGGTAACCTGCACTGTTCAAGGTTTGAATTCAGGGAACAAACCACTCCGCCATGATTTGACAGGTCGAAACTCCAAAACTTCCTGCAAAACTGGAAAGCTGCCTGGACCTTGTTCAGGAAAATCTGCTGAGCTTCCAAGTAGAGCTGTTGGCACGGCACTTTGTAGTAGTGACATCCTCTGCGCGGATCCACCGAGTTGAATCTCCATATCTCCACCCTCAAATTGGATAAGTGTGCACCTCGACTCCTGCATGGGTACTTAACAGGGAACCGGGAAAAAAACACATTTGTCGGTGAATGGTGTCATACGGACAATGAGCCGCTTTAATGACCAATCTCTTGGGGTTGCTGTTGGGTCATTAAAGTTTTTCTTGGCTATTTGGCACCCAGATTATTTCCCAATTCCTGGAACATATAAAGCAAGAAACCGCCGGTTGACTTGGGTTCGGTGCAACCCCCCCTTGGTACAATACTCAAAGTAGGCGACAGGCTAGGCGTAGACACGGTGGAGCATAGCCTTTGTGATACCAAACTAGGTCATTTCTACAGAACTTGGAAAGTGTAAAGAGGATTCCCAAACGCCCACTTGTCACAAGTAGGTCACCAGGGCCCACAAATAGTCATTTATTTTTTTGAGCAGGGCAGGTCTCCAGCCCATCAATGAGCAAAGGACACTGACTCCTGAAAAGCAGGATCTGTCTTGATGTTCCTGGATTATGGATCAGGCAAAGGCGCCTGCTTGTTCATTTCAGGAGTCCTGGAGGTCAACTTTAGGGGTTGGGGATACTGACAGCGAGCAAAAGTCCGATTCAAGGCGTCCTGCACATGTTTTCTTCTGGCCCATATTTGGTGAACCCCCAAAAAACCGACCCCCCCCCCCACCCGTTTCCAGGCTTCACATCAACCACATGAACTACAACAACTACAACCAGACCAAGCACCAACCGCATCAACTGCATCAAACGCATCAACCGCAACCACAGCCAAATGGCCATGGGGCAAAATCCAAATCGTACCCCCAGTGAACATCCCAATCCAACCACTAAAATAGGTCCTAAAATGGGTGGTGATGGCCATAGGTCAAAAGCCCGTACCCCCAGTGAACAGCCCATGGGTGCACCGAAAACCCCGGTTTTGACAACCACAGCCGCCAGCTACGTCCTGGATGGTGCTTGATGAAGTCCCCCTCCTGCCACTCCCGGGACGCCACCGTGGCCGCAGTGGCCGCATGGAAGGACTGCAGGTGCTCCTTCGAGCCAAAGACAGACCCAACCAACGCGGTATTCATAGGTGTCCTTTCAAGGTAAATAGACGGCCCTGGTAGATGCTTAAACCACCAGGTAAGCCAGGGAAACCCATCTATTTTTCGACCGAAACAACCAAAAAGGACACCTGTGGCTGTCATGCTAAAGCGGTTCTGTAGCCACACTGCGATCACAGCCCCCTTGGGAAATCACCATTTGGCCACGTTCCCCTCAGCGGCCCCAAGGTGCCTTATCAGCATTCCCTTTGAACATCATCCCAGCAAAGCAAACTCAGTACAGATTGGCCCGAAACTTCATGTCAACCTAAGCCTAGGATTTAAATGACTTCAAGTCTCGCACTTTGATCATTTTACCGGTCAAAGATGTCTCTGGCCAACGTTGACCCAGGAACGTCCCAATCCTGCGCCGCCACGCGCACTTCAGGCACCCAAATGGGCGCGTTCACCGAATCCCAGGCGTCATCCACAGCCATGCTGGTCTCCTCGGAGTTCGGCTCGAGCCGATTTTGGAGCCGTGGTGCCGATGTCTGGTCAAACGAATGTGCCTTTCCAAGTATAAAACACATATAAGAGGTGCTTGTTGTTCGCAGGCCCATGCTGATTAAAGTTGAAGAAAACCAACACACCAAAAGACCAAGAAACTAACTTGGTCGGAACCCAAGGACGTAGTCTCACTTCCGTGGATTGGTCATAAGATTGCCCAATTTCCAGACTTGCTGTTCACCACCAAAACGATCTTCCGAAAGAAGTATGAACTCCAAAAACTGGAAAAGTGTGCCCATTACCCATTCTGGTTGGTTTCGGGATCAAATAGGGGTCCCCAAATCTTGACATGTGTTTCTCGCGTGATCAGGACTTTGGAATGGATTCCCCGACAACCCGGTTCTAATGATTAAGGCCCCTCCAGTACCTTACAGACGGAGTTTTGGTTGAGGCTAGTATGGCCTCACCAAGTTGGTATTGAGAGAACAGGTACCAGCCATTTGCTGGCGCCACATTTGTTTCAAGCATCCCGATATTCTTTCTAGCATGGCAACGAAGGCTTACTTAGGCCTTACAACGAACTCCATAGATCAAGTAGTAGAACCTATTAAATCGGCTAACATGGTAATTAGGCGCTGCTACTATGAGCGCATAAAGCGAAGGCAAGTTGCTGGCCGGGCGCCAATCAGTTTAACGAAATTTGCCTGGAACGGTGCTATGGTGTGCATTGTATTTCCGCAACAGACTGACGTGTGAAATGCGGAGTCGCGCTTTTCGGGGCTGGTGTCACAAGGGAGACGACTCTACTTAAAGCCACCACAACAAGGCATCTGCAGTTCCGGCAACACCCAAATATGAGCCAAGGTTTGTGGGAAATCTATGAGTGTCCCCTCCCCCTGTCCCTGAATGGACCATTGACAAATTGGGATAGATTGACCAACATCCCTAAAAGCTGGTTTCCGTTTAGTTGCGCTGAAGCAGCGACCAAAGTTGATCCCATCTTTGGAAATCCCGATTTGGGAATATGACTTCCCTACGCATCGCATGCATCTTGTTCGAGAAGAGAAACAAACTTCCCGATGCATTGTACACATGCCCAAAGGGACACAATTCATGCGTACCTACTCCAGCTGGCCATCTTCCTCAAAGGATGCAAAACGCAATCAGAGGACGCGGTGTGCAAAAACACGCAGAGCACAGGAACCTGTTCACGCCATCTTAAACCTTGGAACCATCTCTTACCTAGGGGTACATAATACTAGCCTTGCAAACAAAGCTGTTCATTGGTGCGTCTTTCGTTGTACGCGGGCATGCAAGGCCTTTCGCCAACACTACTGCAACATGGTCCAACCACTGCTATGGCAAACAACGTCCCATCAGGCCGTCCTTTTTGGGCTCCTTGTTTGATTCAAACGAAAGCCATTCGCGGACCTCCACGCAAACTTGACGCAATCCAAGTGGCATACAAGAGCTGATGCTGCATCGTGGACTGGTCGCTGCCTGTATCTCGACATGGACAGGCAATGAATGGATCTG